AATAATTTAGATAGGTAATTTCATAAATAAAACGCAAATACATAAAATATAATAGTTTTTATTTGCACTTTTTCAATAAGTAATATTATACCACGTAATTGAGGTTCACACATAGGATTCCAGGGTCATCTACCACCAGGCTTAAGCCGTGTAAGGACATACAATACTGGATTCAGAATTTCATTTTAATAGACACTTATAGGCCTTAAATAGTAGATAGTATTTAAATAGCACACGTTTACATTGACGGTTTTGTTTGGTAGTACATTGCTGGCATGTATATGTAGCCGTCAATGGAAACGTTGTGGTATTTTTATACATAAATGTTGTAAGGCTGGGGTGAACTGTGCGAGTTTTAAACTTATTACAATCACTTTTGCTTTTCAAATCTGTTCCGTATGGAACAGACATCTTCATTTCGCTTTCCTTGATATAAGAATAACATAACATCACGCCTTTTATCCCCAAAGAGGTAGGCAGAGATGCACATTATGGCAATTAATCCAACTGTACAATGTAACACACATTTTTCACTATTTATGTTATGAATCCCATGTAATAGGGGACGAGCCTATTGCCATATACCGGGCACAATTCCAGACTCCGTGCTACTACTGAGATTTTTTAAAAACTTAGTAATGTTTTGCCCGACCCGGGAATTGAACCCGGGGCCGGCAGTTGCACTTGCAACCACTCTGCTAACGAGGCAGTCGAACATTTTCATTTCTTTAATATGAGAACACTTTTATAAATTTTTATAAATACAATATTATGCGATTCGTCTGATATATTCAAACCTCTGATGTAATACAATTAGACTTTCAACTCTATAATTAAGCTAAATAAAGTTGAAAATGTAACTGAAGCCATTTGACATAGTGCAGCGTTTTGATATTCTAACACCTTAGGTACAGCGCACACCGATGGAGCCGAGTCACTATGGAATTTGATAATTTGATCCATCTAAATAAGATAGTCATAAAACATCGCACATTTCTGAACCAGCCTTACCTAATCGCTTGCAGCATACATGTATAACACAGAGATATGATTTAAACATTTAATATTATGCTAATACAGTTGCTTATTCAATAACAGGGACAGACGTGTTTGACACGCACTTATTACATTAGGTATCGCGTTAAAGAGCATTTTTTGTGCTTTTAGTAGTAAAAAAAGGTATTAAATATAATTAATAGATTTCACGCTAAACGATAATTGGTATTAATATTATTTCGAAACAGATTATGTTGCACCAAATTGCACAGTAAATATTATGCTATATTAAAAATTTTACGTATATTTAAAAGATATTATACGTATGTTTGTTGATATATAACTAATACGAATATAAAAAGATTTAAAGTGATTCTTTTTGACGTGACAACGTCTTAAATTAGGTTGCGGCTGGGAGTCACTTATGAAAAAGTGTAACGCTCGGTAACGTTACGATGAGTCACCGAACGAGAGAGAGGCCCGTCGAATGCCTTGCGTCTCTCTCCCACTCAACTATGATCGGTCTGCCGCGCGCGCAGCACTAGTTCATTCAATTCCTTGTTCCTATTGTGCAATTTAATTATATTCATATCAATAAATATTCTACCGAGAAAAAGACGTTGTCACGTAAAATCTTCGCCCGTAAAAACGACTTTACAGGCAACCATTTTTTTGTTTTTCTTTACCATTTATGGTAGGTATGATGTGTATCTTGAAACTCCTAGGCTCATCCTAGGAACTTTTGAAGTGATATCGATTTTATTCTCGCCCGCCATTAGTTAAAATTTTTCTCAAAACCAATGACATAGTGGACCGCGATTGAGTTCACTTTGATATTTCGAATTGAATGTTAGAGAATAGCTAGCTGTTAGGAAATTGGAGAGTGACATAGATCATTGTTTTTGTAACTGTCAATTCGAACTTTTGAAGTGTTAATCGTACTTATTCTCGCCCGCCATTGGACAAAATTAATTTCAAAACCAATGACATAGTGGACCGCTATTGAGTTAACTTTGATATTTCGAATTGAAAGTTATGGAATAGCTAGCTGTTAGGAAACTGGAGAATGACATACACTGTTTTGCATTCACCACATGGGCGAAACTGCGGGTAAAAGCTATACGAATGAAGTGTGTTAAATATATTAAAATGCCCTTTAAAGCAACAGTACATTTGACACAGGGACAACTACAATACAAAGAAACATTTTCACAACAATATTACAATAATATAACATTTATAAACGAATTTTGTGCTAACACAGTACATGGAATGTTCAATTATAATACTTATGTTCATAAAAATATAGTTGCAAATAGATAAAGCAAAATTTCCCGCGAAAAATACCTAATATTTGGATTTAAATTAGGAATTCTACACAAAGGAGGTTACAACAATTAATTATTATGTTCATTATATTTTAGGTATAATGAGAACTATCGCACTTGAATTCACCGTTAGGGGCGCCAGGAGACTTTTTTTAAGAGTGGAAAATCATCGGTTGACTACTCCCGGCGCTAGTGAGACTTAGGGTCCGTGCTCCAATAGGGAACAATTTTTCATAGTCACTGTGATTAGACAAACAAGACCAAATTCTTCATCAGCGCCATCTAGTGACCTCAAAATACGATAGTCCTCATAATAACATCATTTAAATTTTTTTGTGTGCTTATTCAAAGCACTTTTATATCTCATGAAACAGTCTATGCATAATATGTCTTTATTACATTTAAATATACATACATATATAGTTCTCATACAATATCAATAGATAGTCGAGAAATATAACGAAAAATAAATAGTCAGATTTCATATAGGTACTACAGTTAAATATTAACTAAAAAAATATTCGATTTCTGTCACATTTTTCAATAGGAAAAATAATTCAAAACTTTTATTATGAAGACAAAATTATGCTAATTAAAAAAAACACCGAAAAATAATTGTAAAGCAAGTACTTTAGAGCTATGTTGACACGGAACGCATATAGTATATAGATCTTAGGAATCATTTATTTTTTTAATTTGTGACATTGTATGGAGTTGTATGAAAATCATACAATTTCGATTTGGAATTGGCAATTTTTATTTGTATCTTTCCATGTCTCTCTTCTCTTACGCAGACTAATTCGTTCCTTTTCTACTTCTGTCCATCGATTATCTATTCCATAGTGAAGTGAAAGTTTTCATGATAGCTTTACCTAGACTCCAATTTGCCATGCTAATGGAATTGAATCTTTATGTATAATAACTTACATTCCAAATCTTATAACTCGTTTTGTTTTGTAGTTAATTATACATATACATGCCGTGTCAAAGAGGTTTATGGTCAATTTCACAGTCTCTAGACAGCCAATAACCAACAGATAAATAAAAAAATAAACTTAATATATTTTTTATCCTCCTGCCAGTTAAATGTACAGAGACGTACGCGTTCAGCGCTCTGATTGGCCGGCTCCCATGAACCAACCAATCATAGCATAGAACGCAGTCTCCTTACTTAGGCCCAAGGAGATAATTGAAACTAACCTTCGAAACTTAAAATAAGTACAACAAGTCACCAACATAATGTTAACAAGAAGAATTAGTCACAAAAATAATACAAGTCATTCAGAGACTTTTGTAAAACGTGAATAAAATAACAAAAGCACCCGAATAAGTTACCTTACAGTAATTATATTTGTGATATTTACAATTTTATTACTTGCAGTTGATGTCAATTTCTTTTTGAGCCCAAATAAGATATTATAATAATATATATATAATACATTTTGACTCGGTAAGTTATTTTAGTAAGTTGAATCTAGTTCACGATTACGAAAAATCCACGTGTGTACAAAAGAACTGTAAACATTGGAAATAAGGTTGATAATAGAGTGAGTGAAGAGGACATCGGTGTCCGCTCCGGGGTTAAGAAGTGGCTCCTTATGAATCTATCTTAGTTTGAATTGGGAGTTTCGGTTGGCGCGATGTAACACGGAACAACTCGTTCAGCATAAATTGAGCAAGTTTGTAAGCTCCTGAGACACTCATTATTTAAAACTTGATCTATCTAATCTTCCTTTCTTTTTCTTCCGGGATGACGTACGTACCCAAACAAGAAGACAAGAGAAAAGACATAGCTCCTCCACAAATATCATTATATATTTCAATAGGTTTCTGAGAGCAGTTATACAGATCAATATCAAACTGACAGAACCGTCTATCTAACCCAGCGCCATCTAAAATTTTTATTGATAGCAACTGCATGCAATATATCGATGTCCATTATACGAAGCCATAAGTCAATGTCACACATTCAGACAATTATTATATAATCAAGTATTCACCGTATATTATACTTAAGAATACTGAAGGTCTTACTATTTACAATAAATATATTTTATAGTAAAGTGTATAAATAGATAATTTTCATGTCAATCTTGATTTTTTATCATATAGCCATTATAACTTGACCTGTCTGAAGTGTGCTACAAGTGTCGCGATGTTTCTGTCATTTGAAGGTGACTAACTTCAGAGAGGTCAATTTACGTTAGCTTTGCATTAGGGATAAATTACAGTTTTTAAATTACATACTACTGTCTTTTAATATTGAGTTTCATAGATATGCATTGCATTATTTTACGACAAATAAAACGAAATCAGTTGATCATATTGGATTTAAATACATTTGCAAGTGATTCAGAGTGAATAACGGGAAGATCTTTATCTCGTACACCTCGAAAACACAAAAACCTTTAATACGTCGTATGACCTATTTTGTAGCCAATAGTCCATTGAAACAGGTTAATTTTTATGTAAAACTTTACATAATTCAGTTTTACTTGAACCAGTTAAGATGAAATAAAATAAATGAATTCGAAAAATTTTCTTAACATATTAGTTATTACGATAAGTTCCAAATCTTTCATATTGATTTTGACTAGATTTAGTTTATTTTTTAAATGGTACATTTAAATATTATATCGTAGTATATATTTTTCTTAAATAATATATAAGATTAGCTCAGATCTTTAAAATTGATAAGAATATAATTGATATATTATTATGCTATCTAATTATGACAAAAAAAAACAATTTCTTGTTACTTTTTTCTACCCCTTCCAGTCGTAATCAGATAAATTTCGGAATATTTCAGATCGTTTCACAAAGATCATTTGTAAAAACTCAATTAAAATGCCTAAAATAACTTAAAATTATAATTAAAAATAAGTCTTTAAAATGGAATGTTTAGTTTTCGTTCAGATCTATAATTTTAAATAGTGTTTATCATTGTTTACATTAATGATGTTCTTGTTTTGTCAAAACATTGAGACTCGTATTAAAAACATAACCTTTCTTTTGAAAGCAGTTGGGTAAAAATAAATTATATTATACTGGAAAGGGCTCAACACTAATAGTAGTGTTGTAACATAAAATAAGAAAATTATTATTATTTTTTACTTTTTAACATTAATTTAAATAGCTGCTCAGAAGTTTTAGTTATTTCATAAATTTCGTTATGTTATACTTCATTATCATAACTCACACTTTACACCAGTGTGTCCAATTAAACTTTAAATCATCTAAAATGTATTTTCATATAACGACAATTATTAATAATTCAAATCGTCACTACAATGTGCGTCTAGAAAAGATCATCACAAACAGAACAAAAAACACCTTAATACATACGAAATAAGGTTCACAATAAGACTGAAATTCTAATCTCATTATCCATTACCATTTGTCAATCTCACCTTTTATCTCATTTTTGTGGAAAGTTCTCGATGATATTTAGATTTCGATAGCTGGTATGTTGACGAGATTTTCACGAGCACGGTTCCAGTAGTAGTGGGGAGGACCGGCAGAAAAGCAGTACTTTTGTTTCAGTGGACTGTCGTTTTCTACCCAGTACATGAGGTATAAGTTGCACATCTCATCTTTGTTTGTGGCTCTGTAATAATAAGAGCTAAATTGAAAAGGATGATCTATACATATAATAAAATCGTAGGAAACTGAAAATTGAAAATTGAATATTTTTTTCAAAGAATGCTTGGTGCGTGATCTGCAAGTGATATTGAAGCTAAAAATATGGTTTTTAGAATTTTTGTCTGTATGTATGTCCGGGCTAAACTCGAAAAGTACTAAATGGATTTACTTAAAATTTTGCATGAATATTACTAATAGGTCGGATCAACATATAGGCTACATATTATCATGCTATCACCTACGGGGGAGGAGCTGTGAATCACTATTTCACGCAAACGAAGTCATGTCAGTCAATTAAATAATGTCTCATTATTAAAATAAGTCAACGTGTTAAGTGAATGAATGTATTTATCGTATGTGACTGAATGACCAATTAGAGTTAATGTTATGTTAATGAGAAAATTATTTCAATGTTTCCAACTGTACACAGTACGTGCATGTCCGTTCATTACGGCACTTAATGCCACTGTACAATGTAACACCCACTTTTCACTATTTATGTTATGAGTCCCATGTAATAGGGGGTGAGCCTATTGCCATATACCGGGCACAATTCCAGATTCCGTGGTACTACTTAGAATTTTTAAAACCCATACTTTGCCCGACCTGGGAATCGAACCCTCTACCCATTGCCCGGCAGTCGCACTTGCGACCACTCGGCCAACAAGGCAGTCGTAGCTGCTCGTAGCCACAAGCGTGACTTCTAAACATTATTGTATTGCACTAAATATTTTTCTTAAATAAAATTCTCAGAAGTATCAATATACGGATCCATTCAATCCACACTTCTATTGACCACCGCATTATCTATTTAAAAAAGTCTATTTCTACTTACCCAATCTTCACAGCGTAATCATGTGTATTGTTCATGATGCACCTAGCGGCCAGTACATCATCCCGTTCGATGGGCCGCGTACTAGCAACGGGATAGAACATCTGTGGTAGCTGCGGGTCCTTACGACCAAGTAACGTCCATACATCTCCAACCTCATCCTGTCGGACCACGTAGCCAGTTACTTGTACGCCTGGAATGTAAGGAAATGTAGTAAGAGATTTTCGCTTAGTTATCTTTATATATATAATTCTTCTGTGACTGTGTATGTCACTGAACTTCTCTCAAACGACTGAACGACCGATTTTGATGAAATTTTTTGTGTGTGTTCAAGGGGATCTGGGAATGGTTTAGATTCACAGGTCAACGTCCGCTAGTATTTAATAATAGATAAATGTTGCTGGTTTAAATTCAAATTATTTATTATCTTAATAATTACAATATCTGTCTAACATTGAGGCAGTCCCAGTAAGTTATACAATACTTCTGTTGGGCCTGACTCGGTCCTTTCTTTATTTATTTAACATTCTTATGAATGTCACATAGGTTCATTGTTATTGTCTAAATGTCAATAACGATTGTTTTGTATGAATTTAAGTTTATACGGACTTTTTTATTTGTGTCATAATTTTAAGCATCACAATGAATTCAATTTTTATGTTATAACTTTCGTGGGACATACTAAATTCCTCTTACTCTCGTAATTAATTGACCGCTAACGCGCTATGGCCAGTAGCAGCGCGACAGTTGCCGCGCCGCGGGTCGCGGAATGCTGTTCATGAATATGAGCCTCTAGCATGGCTTGAAACTAGTCGAGTTCCTCTTCAAATAATTACGTAAGTAAGCCGAATAACATAATAATGAATTCAATTTTGTATATGCAAATCTGTAAGTATTTTCATTGTTATACCTTTAGTGGGTATTTCTATCCTATTTTAATGTACAAGGTGTTGTGTGTTAACAAACTTAATAAATAATACAAATAGGTAAGAGGATCGTCTTCGCTAAGCAGTTTAAGATTTTTTGTTTTGTTTACCATTAGTGGGCTAATTCAAATTATTCTTAATACTATAACGGTACAGAACCACATACGGTCGATAATCACGATTTTCACATGCACCCACCACGGTGTTGGAATGGAGATTTGTTTTTAAAACTCACGAGACCGCAGGTTTGAATTGCCGCGGTTGCGATTATCGCCCGCAAACGTAACGGTTAATTGTCGCAAGACGTTTAAACAATTAGTTGAGTTCCAGGCCGGCCGTTTCATTGCGATCGCCTGCCAACAGATCGCAGAGCGCGTGGGTGCTAGCCGCCGCGGCTGCGGGAGACGCAAGTCTTGACGCGGTCAAGATCAAAAGTCCACTGCCACCGTAAGACTACTATCGGTTGCGCTGCAGAGCTTATACACATATGCACACGCATATTTTTATTCGTGTGCGTACGCGTGCGTGTGTGTATGCGTACGCACGCGTTTTTATACACATTAATATGAAATTACTAACGCATTGCCCTGTGAACATCACTCACAGTGGCAGTGGACTTTTAATCTTTGACTGTACATATCTGTATTCTACAAAGACTGCGGACCCCCAACCGCGACGGCCGCAGGAGGAAATCGCGCCATGAGTCCTTATGGCGACTTCTCGCGTCCGGGCCTAGTGCACGTCATGATGCGGAGCGAGGGGGACTGGGATGCAGTCTCCTTCTTTTGCGAAGCAGTTATGCTAGCTAAGGAGGAGGCGGGACGCGTGAGGCAGCGAAGCGCTGCCTCCTCGCAACCCAGCCATCGCGAAGGACACACCGGGCGTCAGGGATCGCGGGACGATTTCCGGCCACCATAAGCGCGGGCCTGCGGACGGCAAGCATGGGTGGCTCCCCGTCCGACCAGAAACAGACTCGAGGCCTTAGTACAAGTTTGTCTTACGTTTAAAGTATTCGAAACGGGTACGCGATCTGCGTTCTGATTGGTCGGCTCGAATGAACCAACCAAGCTATCAGACCACCACGGATGGGGCCCAACAGGGCTGACGCCGATTCGGAGTCGCGGAGAACCTTACGGGTTACCGACGGCTCCGGCTCGACGTGCAGGAGAAGGAACGGGGTGGTTTTTAGTCAGTAAGAGTCTGACACTCCCTCCCGCCTCACCCAGGCGAGAGCAGTCATTCGATGATTTTCCCCCTTAAAAAAACCTAACAATATATAAGCAAAAATAATGTGGTTTAACTCACCAAGAGAATGTGTGTGAGTACGGAACGCGAAGGGATGTATGACCTTGCTTTCAGTGATGGTGCAGGCAGTCTCCATGCGTTCTACCTTGCGCGGTGGGATCACGCCGCCTGTGCCCAGTAAGAACACGCCGGCTTGACGGGGCATGCTGGAAATTGGAGACATTATTTAAAAATGGAATAAAAGGATTTATTTTAATATCATAAACAAACACTGAAATTTAATTTATCTGTATGACATAACATAACATCACGACTTTTATCCCCGAAGGGTAAGGCAGAGGTGCACATTACGGCACTTAATGCTACTGTACAATGTAACACCCACTTTTCACTATTTATGTTAGAGTCCCATTTATCTGTATAGATGAGAATTATAACATGAAACAGACTTATCTCTATATTCATAAGGGTAATATTATGAAAACCTCTGCTTTTCTGTTCGTAGAATATAACATAACATAATCACGCCTTTTTATCCCCGAAAGGCTAGGCAGAGGTGTACAATGTACATTATGCCATTGTACAATGTAACACCCACTTTTCACTATTTATGTTATGAGACCCATGTAATAGGGGGTGAGCCTATTGCCATATACCGGGCACAATTCCAGACTTCGTGTTAATACTGTAAATTTTTTGAAAAACCCAGTAATACTTTGCCCGACAGTCGCACTTGCGACCACTCGGCCAATGAGGCAGTCGTAGTCGTAGAATCTAACATTGTATACCTCTCGCGCGCTCTCGTACACACGGGTAAATATTTTAATAGAAAAGCGAATTAATTATTCTGTTCAATAAAATAAAAACCGGGTTGCAAACTTGAAAATATACGCCACAGAAAAAATATCCAATCGGTGCGCGTTTCTCGTACACCCGTGTGTACGAGAAACACGCGAGAGGATAATGTTATGATTTCTTGAACAATAGTATATCACAGGAAGACATCTATTATATGTACACAAGTATGAACCCGACCATGAAACTATTGTTGCGTGAGCACTAATTGTTCATTGTTGCTGTTTATGCAAACATAATATACCCCAAACTGACAAAATTGCTACAATCGATTTACAACTTCATCGTAAAGGTTTAGAGTTGAAAATGTAGTATTGTGTATACTACCTATTCTAATAATCTGCTAGAGTCACAATTCTAAAATTCTATAACAGATTTGCAATGTTATTACAAGGTGTTAAGGTAGAAAATGTATTGCAAACAGGTTGATTGGTTAGTTTGTATGTAAACAGTAAATAAACGAGAAACTAGTTCGATTGTTTATGTGCAGTGTTAATATTCTGGGTAATATTCAGTACGGTTAAGCATATTTATGCATTGATAGACTTGTTATAGAGTCGCTTATCAAATACACTAAAAAAATATATAAACATTTTACCTTTGCTTTGTGTATTTCAGGAAAACTCCAGAGTTGTCGGTTTTGTCCTCTGTAAATTAAAGCAAACAATATTAATTTATTAGATATAAGCTTATACAATTCTTTATTTCTGTGTATAACGTGTCTTTGAATAGGTAACTAGGCTAATAGACTGCACGATTAAGGGCCCCGGTGGAATTCGAAACTAGTTGAACACCCTCGAAAATCGTAAGTAAGTCATATTAACATTTTTAACTAAGCATATGTACTGAGTCACGATATATTTTTAAATAAAAACAATGTATTTACCTGGGAAACGGTGCATGTAATGGACTTGGAGTACTAAGTACTTGATGGGCGAATCTTTGCCGATGAGGAAACCGACGTCCTTTGGCAGGTGCAGGCTTGGTGCATCACGAGCCCACGCGTAAACAACCTGGAATATTAAAATGTCAGAATTAGAACAAAAATTAAGAAAACAGTTAGGTATATTCTATTTTGGCAATTGTATATTTTAATTGTCGAAATACATTTACGAAACGAAGATTTTCGTTCAAACTCATTTGAATGAAACTTGATACTTAAGTAATGTACTTTAGTATCTATCTATGTCTACATAGTTCTTTGAAAACATTTTCGGAAGCGTGGTATTTAATACTTTGACTGTAAATTCCCTTTTTTTAATCAAAATATTCGAAATTACCACCAAAAATACTGAATTGCTCACTAGATTTGCTCATCAAATAAATCAATTATACTATACTGTTAGATCTTTAAAGCTTAACTGTTTTACTGAATGACTATTTTTAACTAAAAGTAAATCTAATAATTAACTAAACGAACCTAACCTATTTTGGAAATTCCGTTATAATATTAAACAATTTGTGTGCAAATCAGTATATTCGTTTTACGGCGAGTTATATGTACCTAGTTAATTTGTAGTACAGTCATTTTTTTGATATGTAGTAGGTTACTAGTGGAGAAATTTGGTTTGCTTAAATTTGCCTAAATGGAGGTGCAGATAAAAAATTATCCTTTTCGGAATGTCCAATTGAACATTATCAAAATTCTGCAGAGAAACTTAAAATTGTCACTCAATGTCTTCCTAAACACTCATTTCGAAAATATTTCCCTAGTGCGTAACCGCTCTTAAACTTCCTAAACAATATTAACATTCGTGTAAAAATAAAATACTGGAGAATTGCTACGCAGAAATTAAATTAGAAGAAGTGTATATTCTATCTTAAGTACTAATATATTAAGTGTATATTCCCTTGACCTTGGTCTAGCAAGGATCAATATAACATGTATTCAGGTCAATTAGTCTGTATTAATTAAACAAATTGTAAATACACTAATGTTTCAACAAAAAATATCTTTGTTTCAATAGTTCTTATCGAGGACATGCAATTAAAAGCTTTAATTAAAACATTTGAACAAATTATCTTTATTTTTCTTCCATTATTATTCGATACATTATAAGTCTCTTAGTGTCCGACCGAAACTGGTTTTCCGGCCGAAACCGAAACCGAAACCGAAACCGAATGTTCGGCCGTAGCTTCAGTTTCGGCCGAAACCGAAACCGAAACCGAAACTTAGGTAGTCAAGTATAAAATTTCTTAAGATACTGAAATTTGGTGCATTTTACCTATTATTTTGCATTAATTAGGGCATGAAATGAAAACACAGTGTATTAAGTTTGTTGTAATCATTTATTTAATATAATAATTAAAAAAAATATTAATAACATTTTTATTATTTTTTCAAATTAAGTTCTCATAGCATAATGTTTATCCAGTTTTAGATAGTAGATTAGTTACCACTAATCAAATCAGTAATTGTTACTGTTTCATTAAATACTAAGTATTGGTATTTTATTATACCTCTATTCTCTGTACTGAATACTTATGTAATTTCCCACAACTTTATGCATTTTCAGAGATTCCCTTTAATGCCTTTATAGATAATATCTAATTGTCAATTAGTAATTATACGACTAAGTTAAAAAGTTTTTTTTTTTTTTGTATGGCCTGAGTAAAAAGTTTTATACAGGTTGGCGGTGATATTTTATTTGTCAAATAATGACAATCGTACAGTGTCGTGGTAAACAGAGTCATGCGAGCGTGAACGTGTGTGAACTTGCGACATAAGTTTTAGTTTCGGCAAAAGTTTCGGCCGACTTTGTCCGAAACCGAAACTGCCGCCGAAACTTGATTTTTGGCCGAAACTCGGCCGAAACCGAAACCGAAACCGAAATTTCGGTCGGACACTACAGTCTCTTGTATATTTTAATTACTACTAAACTAATCGAACATTTTTCCAATTAACGAAGTACGATAAATGCACAAATAAAATTACATAATGAATTCCCGTGTTGCATTAGGAAACACAATTTATTATATGTTAAAAAAAAACAAAGTAGGTATAAAACTAACAATATGAAATTTTCATGTTTGGAAAAGCGTAGTCACACGTTACATGTACCTACCTACGTACTACATGCACTTTGACAACGTGTTACTGCGGTTTTCCAAACATGAAAATCTATCTCTACATATTGAATATTGCATTTGCATACTTTAAAATAGTATTGTATGACATTATTGTCAATTTATAACGAAGGCATCTTGGTAGAGTCTACTGTGCCCATTTACTTGCAAATACATTAGCAACTTTATTCAGTTCAGTATTCTGAAAATCTTGTTTTATACTTTTTCAGCGTCTTTTATGTCGTAGTTGGGTTTTAGTTTTTATTATTTCGTTATAAATTACTGAGAATTATCTATTACCAACGTTGCAAACAAGGTATAAAGACATAACATTGAATATAAACAAATGATAACACATACGAATATCTATTTACTTAACTAAATTCTGTATTTGACTGTAACCTTAGTCTTGTACACAAGGTTCAAACTTTGATCAGGTGTTAGGAAAATGTACTATTTAGTAGAAGGACAATAAGTATACAAATGACTATATTTTAACTAAATATAATATTGTGTTCTGCGTATGAAAATACGACCACCCTAAATTAATTAAAATATACGCATCAGCCACGTGACTATCCGAGGGTGCTCGACTACTCACGCCACGATTGGGGCTCATAATCACGAGCAGCATTCGCGGCGACTGACATCCCGTAACCAAATAATGCAGTCGAGCACAACTGTATAGTCATGTTGTAAGTTATAAATGTTCATTAATTTCGTGTGTATAATTCAATCATAATCGATTAACTGCGAAAATAATTTATTGTAAAATAGCATTATGTATGATGAATAGGGTAGACGCCTAATTTTTATTTTTATGTCCATCTGGTAGATTATTTTAAATCATTAGAAACGTATTTTTTATTTTCTTACAGAAACAAATACTTTCGACGATATATTGATTTAAATGTCGCATGACGCCACTTCTATGTACATTTTATACGTAGAAATGACGTTTTAGCCCCCACTCCTAAACTTCGATTCGTTTTATCTAAGTATTGTTTTATTATACGACAAAATAAAAAAATACGTGTCTAATATTTTTTCATTACCTAACTTACGGACTAATTAGATTTTTAATTTTCATACCCCGTCATCATCCCAATGTATTGGATACATTTTATTTACCTACTCAACTACTTTATGAATTTAATTACTTAACAAACTAGACTAGGTACTATTTTATAGTACTTTGTAGAAAAGTAAATAAAAAACGAACTATCGCAGCACTAAGCCGTATAAATTCTGATCGATACTTAGGTAACGTATTTGATAAAAACGTCATTGAAATATCAAGGTCTTGCACAATATCCGTTGGAAACTATATGCATATACTAAGCAAACGGTAGGTTATTGGAATAAATAGAAAACATAACGTACTTTAAGTTTTAATTTATTAATATTGTACTTTTGGATTAATACCTAAATTAATTAGTTTGAATACTGGCCTACTCCTTTTTTTGGGGTAAGCCGGTAAGCGAACAGACGGATCACCTGATAGTAAACATTGGCGCCGCCTATGAACACCCGGAATACCGGAGGCGATACAAGTTCGTTACCGGCCTTTTAGGAATTAGAAATTCAGGGATTGGGGAGATTGGTATACCCACACAACGCAAGCGTTGTTTTACGTTGGTTTTCTGTGAGTTTTACAGTGCAAACGGAATATTGTTATCACTTGATAACTACTGCTATTATTTTCCTGAACCAACGCCAACCAGCAATTTTTAAGAAACTAATAAATTATTTACCTATGTACTTAATTCATAATAATTAAAAGTTCATAAGACACTTAGCACTAAGCTTGATTTCTTTTTTATTTCTTGGCAACATTTTCTAACATAAGTATTTTATTAATTAGTAACGTAGGTATATAAAGACAATTTAGTTACCATTAAAATGAGAACATATTTTTGTAACAGGAATATTCTATTTTTGAAGTCGTTGAGGGTCCGATAAAATGAAAAAAAAAACCGCTATTGGCTCCGTTTGTTTGCTCCCAAGTGTACCATACTTAATTGCATGATAACAAAATAATTATAATGATTTATCTACAACACAAATGTGACGTGACCTATGGCATGAGCCGCGGTAAATCCCGATTTCAGAGAATAACATTATTGTACTAAGTAAGTTATTTGATTGAGGTTGAGTAATAATGGCTTATTATTCGAGCAACAGTTTGTAATAAACCTAACATCTCACTCTTGATTCTTAGACAGATCTGAACATCTGAGTATATTTCATTAACATAAAAAAGAAGGGGTAGGCTGAGTTGCATTTTTTTAAGGGGGGAAATCATCTAATGACTTCTTCCGCCTGGGTGAGGCGTGAGGGAGTGTCAGACTCTTACTGACTAAATACCACCCCGTTCCTTCTCCTGCACGTCGAGCCGGAGCCCCGGTAACCTGTTAGGTTCTCCGCGACAGGCAGAGTTGCATCCGGCACTTAATGCTACTGTACAATGTAACACCCACTTTTCACTATTTATGTTATGAGTCCTATGTAATACGGTGTGAGCCTATTGCCATATACTGGGCACAATTCCAGACTCCGTGCTACTACTGAGATTTTTCGTTAAATTAAAGTACTTATATCGCGGCCTACTGACATCGGCACGACCGCGCACGCGGAACATGAGTCTGGCCCCGCTGTGGCTCGAAACTAGTAGAGCTTTTCTCAGTATATTCACGTGAGTAACTCGCGATATTTAGTTAACTTAGGCTTATCGTGGTGGTTTTTACCTAGGGAAAGCTACTCTTCGGCACAAATGGGCCAGTTGTGTTTGATACCACGGTCGCATAGGAAACCAGTGTGAAACAAAGCTTGCGTTGTGTTTTGTCGTGTGAATTAATGTGTAGTTGTCACAAGGAGTCCGGAGGCGAACTTAGATAATATTGACTCTAATAAAACGTGTGAAGTTGCGGGTAAAAGTTAGCTACCTTAAGATAAGGCTACTTACTTGAGATCCGGAGCGGCATGGACTAGCAGTATTGTACAACGCATCGATATCGTTTGTCTGCATCTCACCGCAGTTCCTAAAAACAAAAGGGAAGATAAGACATAACATAACATCACGCCTTTTATCCCCGAAGGGGTAGGCAGAGGTGTACATTACGGAAGATAAGACGTTAAAATAAAAATGGCATATAATTGCTCAAATCGCAAGAAGAATATAGTTCTTTTAATTTTATCTTAGTGCTTACGCTTTACGCTTAAGTAGCCTAATAAAATATAGAATAAAGTAAATTTTGATGAACTTCATAGAAATCAGCATTAAAATTCTTCAGGATTTTTCAGTCGCCCATGCAAAGTCAGGAGCCACATTCCACATGCGAAGTCGCTAGCCATTAGCGCTATGAAACAAGAAACATAACTAGCTAAATCTAAAAAACATCAATAGCTTTTATACCAAGTGTTTACGGCTTGTCCATAAAATGATTGTTATCACCAACCATTCATCGATTTTCGTGACACTTGGCCGAGTATTATTCAGTATATGACGTCATCGCACGCCAAACATTCTAAGGCTTACTACCCAAATCCGTAGCTTGTCGATTTTGCGTTAACACCCACTAGTGATGTAATGGGTTACGTGCGAAACATTGATAACGACAATGCGAGAAACTTTTGCACCGAAAAACGACAAAAATGTAAGGATTTATTTATATTTTAATTACCTAGTTTTTTTCCTCGTAAGCGCGTGGGTAGTTAAATAAACACAATCGTGCAGTCATATAAATTACCTTTACATATTCATACTTTAGAGTGCTCTTATTGTAAGCCAATTCCCTATGTTAGTTCGACTCCTAAGGCCAACTGTAAGATGGGATAATATAAAACAACTTACCAAACAGACTCATTAGATCCTGGCTCTGAGCATCCATACAGCAGCATGTGATGAGCAGTGTGCATCGTCGCATTCGGTTCAAATCCCACTGAAAATATAATTTACTTTTGGAATGGTTTGTTTCTACGTTACAATACATAAAGGTGCAAATTAAATATATTTTATTGTAACCACTGGCGTAACTATAAGGTGGCAAGTCAGCAAAATACTACGGAGCCCCTGCCTGTTAAGAGGTTTTGATCTGAACTTCTCTCTTTCAAATAGGGAAGAGTGTCCAACCGATGGATTGCTACGGGCCTCGATCGGTACTGTTACGCCACCGCAATTTTTAAACTATAATCTTCATTATTGTCCAAAAGCTCTGACAGCCCAATGCAGAACAAAGAACCTTCCAGCCTTCGCTACATAAGAGGAGAATGCCATAATTTCTTGGCAAGCGGTTGAGAGATCGTCATCACACGGCAAATTGTTATTTAAACCAACCTAATTAGAGTTAAGTAGCGAGTACTGCTCTCTCTTTCACACTTACACATTTCCAACGCCCTTCGCCTACAAATGTATAAAGAAAACTAAAGAAAAATCTTCCGTGCTATTTTTAGATCGCAAACCAAGTTCGATACCGAGGGAGTTTCATACATAAACATGATATTAGATGACAACCTCGTAAATAGCGAAGCGGAGGAGCGAAGGAAATTCTTTTGTTAGTTAGTGGCTGATAAAATCATGAACAAATCAGTAAGTTTTCGTCGTCGTCGCTTTCGTCAATTGACGATGGCATGCGATTACAAGACGAATGCTTGCATCTTGCAAAATTCAAAACCTTTGGCATTTTTGTCATTCATATCGTATAGGACTAAGCAATAACAAACCTAGGTAATAGTTGCTGTGTGGCGAGATCCTGATGGGCGTGCAAAGATACAGTTCATCCTGGAACAAATACAAACAGATTTTGAGAATACTTGTACACAAATTAAATGTTTAAGGCTGTACAACTTAGCCAGCAGATCATTACTATACAATTAGATTTTAAGACAAACGAAGAACTTTAAGATGCAAAATGATGGTTTAATATAGCAGAAATCAATACTATTTTTGATCACAAACCTCTATAAAAAAAAAACATGGACAACCCTAATAAATAGCTATCATGATACGTTCACCATAAATGCAATCTTATGTTTATCGCACTAGCGTGCTAATTGGGTCAGTCATGAGTGGCTAAGTTGTTTCATCACATTTATAACCTAAACCCAGTTTAGATATTACGGTAATGTTTGTGTATTAAATTGCTTTGGAAAAATATTACGACATCTAAGTGGGGTATTTTCTTTTCAGCAGTAGATTGTCACTTGTTATTGAATAATATTACAATTCTGAAATAACAATTGAGTTCGACCTACATAGACATTATGGAGTAATACCTACATATGTGCATACTGCATACCTATATACTGTTCGTACATTTCATCAGTAGTGCTGTTGTAAAGGATCATTTAAAACATATAATAGGTCTATTGGCTACTGTTGTTTTTCAATGGATGCCTAATTCTTCGCCAAAATATGCCTCACACTCAGCAATCGCGTTTACTACCATTATAATACTAAACTAATCCTAATAAGACGCTGTATCACAGAACCTAGATGTCTTTTAGAAGCTCTTTTCAAATTTCCTCTTCAAGTCAAGTTTCCTCTTTACGGTAAAACAGCTAACAAAGTTTTTTGGAACTGAGTCTTCAATTCAATGTTATGGCATTTACCCCTTTGTTTGAGGGGGGATAATCATCCAATGATGTCTCCTGCTCGGGTGAGGCGAGAGGGAGTGTCAGACTCTTACTGACTAAAAACCGTTTAAAATTCACCCCGTTCCTACTCCTGCACTTCGAGCCGGAGCCCCGGCAACCCGTTAAGTCTTCCGCGGCTCCGTATCGACATCAGCCCTATCTGCGGTTGTCTGATGGCTCCTTGAAGCGCGCGCGGAACGCGACGCGCCGTACACTCGGGCCTGGTTCTGGTCGGGCGGCGAGTCACCCATGCTCGCCGTCCGCAGGCCCGTGCTTACGGTGGCCGGAGATGGTATGGAATAAACCTTAGCGTGGTAGCGGAACTGCCAAACTTAATTTGTCATTCTAAACAGTTTTGATTGCCCGCATAGTATTTACATGCGGGCGTTTTTTGCTAAACTGAATAATATCTCAACCAAACCACGTATTCAGATGATAGATAACGATTTGCAGGAACTTTTTACGACACAATTGTAGTTACCTATCAGTAACTGTTTGGAAACACTAACCAATAATGTGGAATCTGCTATTGAGTTGAACAATTTTTAACGCTACTAACTATCGATGGCAAGAAAGCTTACTGCCCACCTGATAAGAAGTGATTACCAGGGGCTTAACTACAGGGTGGCAAGTCAGCAAAATGTTGATGGCAAGTCGACAAAAAGTCAGTTGGATGGGGGTTTTCATCTGAACATCTCTCTTTTTTATAGGCAATGGGGGCCCACCCGATGAAATTTGCTACGGGCCCTAGGTGGTATAATTAGCCACAGGTGGTTAGCGTAGATGTTGTTGTCGCAGAGAACCTAACGGGTAACCGGGGCTCCGGCTCGACGTGCAGGAGAAGGAACGGGGTGGTTTTTAGTCAGTAAGAGTTTTCTTCTTCTCCTCTTATAATATCTTCTGATTCGCTTCGTTGCGGGAACCAAGACAGTTGTTCATGTCCCTGGGACGCGCCGGACTTCAATGTTCCGGTGTTTTCATGGTTGTATCTACTATAGATCCTGGCTTACAGGAGTTGCAGCGGTTTTGGGAGGTTGTGGCGGGCTTGTCCCATTAAAAAAGTCAGTAAGAGTCTGACACTCCCTCCCGCCTCACCCAGGCTTAAAAAAATAAAATAAAAAAAAGCGTAGATGTTGCTAGTGTACCTACTTAACACTAGCAACACCAGAGGCATCACTAAAGTCACAACCACAACTGTATTGACGGTCATGTACGAGTCGTACAATATTCTTTTGGCTGAAAGAGTACAAAGCGCAAAATTGTATTTGACTTGATAAAATCGAAATAAACATGGTTGATTTTATCAAGACAATTGAAGTCATACAATATGTAGGTAGTTATAATAAACCACATTAGCTCTCGACCACTCAACACTCAATTGAAGGACTAAGTAAGTAAAGGATAATATAACAAAGATTTAATTTAATACGACAAAGATCAGAACTTGATAAAAATGGCAACGTAAAAATTAAATATAAATATAATGAAATGGAAATCATAGTAAACAAGGTTGTTGCTATAAATAGACCGACAGACGGAGTTCCCAGCTCCAATCAATTTTCAATCAACTGCCTGCGAGACAATATTGATCTTGATTGATTACAAGCTAGCGAATATACAAAGAAATTTCATTCATCGGTATCGAATATAGATACGAGTATCTAAGGACGATTTTCGCGTGGGTTTTATTTGCGAAGTTTTATTATAAGACCCTGAAATGTGATATTATCTTTTGTTCGTTTTCGAAGTAGGTACTTACTTTTCAAATCCATAATTGTGGATAGTATTAATAAATTACTTATTAAGTAACTACTGCATTTCTACATAGCAAGCAGCCTAAATTCCGTGTTTGAATCCTTCATCAGCGCTGTTATTGGGCCTGATTTTCCAGATAGCACTCTTGTTACTATTACAAAATATAGGTAGTTACTTATTATCTTCTCGACGATTAAGAACTAACCTCAAGGAAATACCGCGGGGAATTATTGGTAAGTATTCAGTGCTTTTGATACTTACTTATTATTTTTAGAGCACAATTTTCTGAAATATCTAACTATTATGTTTAAGGCTTACTCACGTAACTTGTTGACGAGGAACTCGACTAGTTTCGTGCCATGCTAGAGGCTCATGTTCATGAGCAGCATTCCGCGTCCTGCGACGCGGTACTACCTACTGGTACCGGACTGGTACTACAATAGCAGCGCGACAGTCGCCGCGTCGCTAGTGTCGCTGGCATGGCTTGAAACTAGTCGAGTTCCTCGTCAAATAGTTACGTTAGTAAGCTGAAAACATAATAATTAATTTAGTATGTCTCACAAAGTGTTAATATAAACACAAATTTCTAACTAATACAGTAGTTTCCTAAATGTTATTTCACAAAATTAAATACTTTCGACGGTATATTAATTTGAAATATCGTGTGACGTCACAGCGTGCCACATTTTGTAGCACGTTATGACGTAACAACCTCACACTCCTAAACTTAGCGCCATTTTATCTAAGTATTGCAACTTAATACGAGACAATAAAAAATACGTGTCTAATATTTTTTCATTATCTAACTGATGGAATAATTAGATTTTTAATTTTGATATCCTGGAGACTACCCAATTATACACATTTTTATTAAAAACAGGACTAACTAACTATGCAAAAAGTAAAATCTAGTTACTCCTGTAGAAGATAGATTTCATATAAAAGGTGGTTTCTGAGATACAGCTATGTTTTGGTCAAAATTAATAGCTAAAGGTGAAATCATTGTTAATATTATTCAGTACGGATATATTGGTTAAGGTACAAGCTGATCAATTCGACCTTGTCCTTTATGCTCGGAATTGGGACGCGGCCTGCGGGTTACTTTACATTTATACCTAGGATAACCGAGCCCCGGATAATTATGTCCAGGTTATGTAGATATACCTTCTGTGTATAAGATTGAGATAACTACAGACATTATAAATATGTCATAAGAGGTAAGTTTTTGATGGATTAGGGCAGCAATCAGGACCTGGACTAAGCAATAGGAGTCGCACATGGGTTCCGCAACACCAGAGAAGGAGGAGAGGAGTTATAAATGCGTTGCCAACCTTTTACGGATTTGGGGATCCTCACCAACAGATTCGAGTCACAGTCAAAGCATTTATTTCAATTAACTAAATCATAATTTGGTAGATACTTTTGAAATGAATACAAATACAAAATAAAGAATAGTCTTCCAATCTGTCCGTCATTAAGGCTAGGCTAGCTAAGCTAGCTCGTTCTAAAATGTATGTAGATTCGAATGGAGAAGAACAAGTAAGAAACTGCATAGTCGAGTCGAAGTATATATATGTATATAGTTATAGCCCTTCCACAAAATGATTACCCAATTGTAACCGATTTAAAAAAGGAAGTTCTGTTCGACGTTTCATACATTCTACGTAATTTCAATAACCTAAGTAATTAAAGTTGAATAGGGTAGATGCGTAATTTTTATTTTAATGTCCGTCTGGTAGATAATTTGAAATCATTAGACACGTATTGTTTATTTTCTTACAGAAACGAATACTTTCGACGATATATTGATTTGAAATGTCGCGTTACGTCACTTCTATGTACATATTATACGTACTGTATAAAATGTACACTTCTATGTACATTTTATACGCAGAAATGACGTTTTAGCCCCCACTCCTAAACTTTGATTCGTTTTATCTAAGTATTGTTTTATTATACGACAAAATAAAAAAATACGTGCCTAATATTTTTCATTACCTAACTTACGGACTAATTAAATTTTTAATTTTCATATCCTGTTATCATCCCAATGTAATATAAAATGAAATGGACGATATTGTTGCAGTTTGGCGGCCATATTTAATATAGGTAGTACCTACATTACGTAGGCGGAGCACTTAACAACATTGCACGTAAATATTGACCTTTGCTTAACCATAAATGAGGTTTAATGATAAAAGTGGAGTGGATATCCATAACTAATAATCCTTATCAGGTTTTTATATGAAAGTGATATCAAAGTGACAAATTGAAGTCTTATTATGAAAGCTTAGAAAGCTGCATGCATTTATTTTCCCTGGAAACTAATTGACTACTTTTTTTGAGGGGGGAAAATCATCCAGTTTCTTCTCCCGCCCGGGTGAGGCGAGAGGGAGTGTCAGACTCTTACTGACTAAAAACCGTTTAAAATTCACCCTGTTCCTACTGCTGCACTTCGAGCCTGGGCCCCAGCAACCCTTTAACCCTTTAACCGCCAAGCTTCTGAACTTTCAACTTACCTCCAGCGCCACGTCACTTTAGGTATAAGTTGGAACAGTGTTGGGAACACTTAATATCGATGCATATATTCTTTATTAACTCGTCGAGTACCGTCATTATAGACACAATTATAGAACAATAGGTTGCGGTCACCGGTGACCGCTTGGTGTTTGACAGTTTAATTAAAATCAATGTTTTATTTACCTACTTAATAAATAAGCTAAAAATGTTCAATCTTCAAACGAAGTGTACGAAAATGAGTATTCGGGAAATGGCCACGGCGTCGTCCGTTCTCCTGCTGGCGACGGTGACGATGCTCCACGAGCATGTTGTATTAAATTTAATAATTTCATGTAAACTTCTGAGCGGATTTCCGACAGTACGGTTTCCAGCTCAAAAGGTTTTAAAGATGCAAAGTATTCATTTCGTGGATCACTTGGTCTCTGATCAAAAACTTTTGCGTCACCATCTTCTAACTTTGCATAATGGACACATTTGGTTTTGACTGTGTTGATTTATTTGAGAAATAACAAAAACCCAAAAAAGGGCTTACAACACTAGTTGCATTGAGTGATAAATGTTTAACGTGATTTTACGGTGACGGCGCTAAGGCAACTCACAATACAGCGCTATAATCTCCTTGGCCGCACGTAATATTACGATGATGGCGACCGGCGATTGTCCGCACTAGTGCGGTTCTGCGTTATGAAATTTTTATATTATTGTTATAAATATTAAATAATTTTAAACTTAAATACATTTTAATTAGTACAAATACTTGCATCAAAGTAACACTATGGTTATTTTCTAATGAAAGTATACACTTTCATTGCAAATAGTGACAGTAATATCTATAGTGCCTTGTTTGTTCTTAGACAACCTATTAAGTATTTTTCGAATTCGCCCCATCCCTAGTACTCGTAAAATTACGTGATTGGCGATACAGATAATGGAGACGGTGACCACAATTTAATTAAACCTCAAATTTCACAGTATTTATCACTCAAAACATTGAGAAATATCCATAACAATAAAGATTATACCCTACATCTTGAAATTGACACATTTTATATGGAGTTTGTGCACTATAAGAAGATTTTTAATAAAATAACGTGATTGTACGTATGTGGCGATTCGGACACAGCTTTCGAATACCGTAATATTACGTTGTCGGCGGTTAAAGGGTTAAGTACTCCGCGGAGTAGTTAAGTACTTAGGAGTCATTTCTCGAAATGACTGGTGTTAAATGGGTGTAACTATAATGTGTTTATACAGTTCAATTTGGTTCTGGCTACTATTCAAAGATTTAAATGGTATGACGTTATATTCGAGTGAATGTGGTTCACATCACTGTCAATATTTTTATAACTAACTTAGCTTCTGCCCGCCACTTCGTACGCGCAATCCCGTTTTCTCCCGTTCCCGTAGGATTTTCAGGATTTTTTTCCGTTAGAAGAACCTTCTCCTGATAATAACAAACACAACAAAAAAAAAATCTGCCAAATCGGTCTAGCTGTTCTCAAGTTATGGCGTGACAACGGGAAACGGGTTTCATTTTTATATAATATAGATAGACTACCTATCTGTGTACGAATATAACATATTTCTGAATATGAGCGATATTGATATAGTTCTAAAACAAGAAGTACCACTCATCATAGTTAGAATGATCTGCACTGAACAAAACAAAACAGTATTTAAAGTACCTACTACCAAATACCTCTAATGAGAGTGAATTTACCTAGTAAATATAAAGTTATGGTAAAAAAGACAGGTTGTTTGTTTCATTTAAAAGGTTCCGATAGTATATATTAAGTATAAGATAGTATAAGAACTGATTCAAAGAACCTTTGACACTAGGAAATTCTCCTCTATATTGTAACGGGATTGAAACCTTGTCAAAATAAATCAAAACTGTACACAAGTCACAGGCAGAAAGTTATTTACCTAAATAAGAAATTATTGAAAGTCTAGCTCTGGAAAGAAAAAATGTGCTATATTTGCAGCACACTGAGGTTTAACCCATAAATCACCAAGCGGTCACCGGTGACCGCTTTCCACTAATATTACATTACATTATAGACCTTATTTGTAATGTTTAGAGACTACTTTTGTATGACCAAAATTAGGGGGTGGATTTCAACGGGTTAAAATTAAACTGTCAAACACCAAGCGGTCACCGGTGACCGCAACCTATTGTTCTATAATTGTGTCTATAATGACGGTACTCAATGAGTTTTTTTTTTCATTTTGGGACACACATTAAATTATGTATATTAAGTACTGTATTATGTAATATTATTTATAGGTAATGGTAAGGATGTTGAAAAAATGGACAGTGATGAAGTGTATCCTCTTTAAACAGCAACTATGAAGTCATGTTTAAGGAAAATACCCAATTAGATGTTTTCAGTTACAAAACCAATATTTGTCTGGCAATAGACTTTTAAAACAATATTTATTAGGGTAATTGTATTTTTGAATTCATAATATCAGCATGCCTTTTATTTCCGAAGAGGTAGGCATTTTTTTTTAAGGGGGGAAAATCATCGAATGACTGCTCCCGCCTGGGTGAGGCTGGAGGGAGTGTCAGACTCTTACTGACTAAAAACCACCCCGTTCCCTCTGGGAGCCCCGGTTACCCGTTAGGTTCTCTGCGACAATGAGTAGAGACATAGGTGCACATTACGACACTTAATGTCAACATGCAATGTACAATTTAAAAAGTGGGTTTTACATTTTTCAATTCTAGTGATTATAATATTATAGAACTACAATACATGAATTTAAGTATTGGTACAGTGAATGTGCATTTTTACCATTTTTTATGGGAATGATAAGCATTTTTGTAATGCACACATCTAAATGATAGTGAAAGTTACACAAAATGTGTTTGAAAGATTACGTTTCCTTTCACTTTACATTAGCTATTACAAAATTGTTGTTTGCAAATGAAACAATTTTTTTATTACTTTAAACAAGCTATTAGTCTACTGCAAGAAGATAAAAAGTATTCTACTTAAGTATATTGATCACACTCCAAACACAAATATCATTATTGTTAAAGTTTTCAGTTGCAATAAAATAGAAATTTAACCCTTTGAGTACCGTCATTATAGATACAATTAAAGAACAACAGGTTACAATAAAGGAACACCGGTGTCCTCGCTGTGTTTGACAGTTTAACTCGTCGAGTACCGGTTTTGTAGACACAATTATAGAACAATAGGTTGCGGTCACCGGTGACCGCTTGGTGTTTGACAGTTTAAATAAAGTAATAAGTACATTTTGCTTTATAATATTGAAGGATTAAATATATAAAATTAATTCTAGATGAATTTGGGATAAGGAGACACCTATTTCCTGAAGGACGTGTCGTAACAGACATTGCAAAATGGGGGCTCTGGAGCAGGTCTCTAGTAGAGGATGCGGTGCCTCCATACAGGTGTTGAGGGTGCCCGCAGAGGTGGTTTAAGTGAGGTAATAAAGAATCCCACACTCCCTAGTCTTTAATCCCCAAAAAGCATGACGCCTTTTTAAGGTTTCCCATATATGTTATCAAAAAATTAACAGATTTGTGCAGTTTAGGTTTCTAAAAATCTCATCTTCAATTTTATGCTTAGGATTTCCCCATAGTAATATTGTTGTTTGACAAGATTTAGCGAGTCATATATACCCAGGAATTTGGGTATTTCCACCTTTCATGTTTTGTATTTGAAAACACATTACAAGTTAATCTTTTAGCAGGTGCATATTAGGTAAATAAGGACGATTCTAACTCACTCTACCATGCAGCTGCACTTATTATTTTTAAAATAAAAACTCCTATGAGAGAAATGATATAAAATAATAATGACAATTCGGGTAAATAAATAATTTTAAGTAATTATAGACATAAGTTTGAATTAATTAAATATTGAGCTTGAACTTACCTTGTGTGGCCAAACGTTGGGCATCAGAAAATCATAAGTATCAATTTCAATAGCTGATGCAAATAAAATGCAGCTAAACGTGGCAAAAGCTACAAAAACTATTTTATCCATATTTTCAAATTTCGAATTGATATTTTTTTAAAACACTGGCGCACTACTGCACAACTTAAGTCTAAAAAAATAATGGAGAACTTGTACGACGTTTATCACACAACAAAATAAAACTGGTTGTTTTATTATTTAACGTTTGATATACTAGCGCGTTGACTCAATAACGATGCATGTTTGAGCCGAGAAGCGACAAGTGTTTGTATAAATAATTTCGCAAATAAAATCGATCAATACCAGAATCAAGTTGATTAACGTCATAGCTGTGTTGCTAGCATTATAGATTTCACCGCTATACACAGGAGATTTAAGATGTTTCTTACAAAATTTTATCGGAAATAAGAGCCTGATTGTAGACTATGAGTATTTAAGAGTAATTTTAAATTCAATATTTAATTAATTGGTTTTGGAAATCAAGAGATTCATGCATATTCCGACGAAACAGGTAACATAATTTCTTTTGACTGGTATTACCAACCTTGTCGTCTTTTTGTTTGACGTAGACACATTCGTCTAAAAACCACCATAGAAATAAAATGTATGTTTACGAAATGTATATAAACGATGTTTTATTATAATATGTATCAATATAACGGCACAAAATTAATAAACATCGAATTTATTTTTGAGATTTTATAATTTATTTATGATTCCAATTGGAGCCAGCTGCTGCCATCTGTTGGTATTACATTATAATTCAGTCAGTTTAACACTTAGCCGTATTACTAATAGATGGCAGCACTAAAGCCTAAAAACTTTTTAAGTTTTTAAGACGTACCTACTCTTTTTGATTTATATTTTCCTGAGTAAAAATATTTAAATTTTAATAAACCAAAAGGGAATCAAATGGTACACTGAATGAACAAGGCAAAAGTTAGGAAGGTACAATTTTGGAGCCCTGAAAATATTATAGTAAGTAGGTAAGTACCTAAGTAGGTATCTAATTTATTGGTGCAATTTTTCTAATATGTATTAATATTTGTTTACCTACCTCCAGCGTTTCTTAATAAGCTTAGTTTTAAAACAATAATAATTGAATTTTGTTTGACTTAAAAAAAAACTAGCTGAAAGTACCGACCTCGAGTCCATTTTGCCTAAACAACCGTTTATACATATAGGTCCACCTACATCAACAACGTTTAGTATCCAGTTTAATGGAAGTATCGTGTAGTAGTAATAAAGTTAGATATTCCGTCAACTCTGTAAACTACTTGCGACGTTCCCCTCCTTGAGAGCCGTTGCCCTTGCCGTTGCCGTTTAGCAATATAAATTGACGGCGCCGACCATCAGACGATGCATGATCTGTCACAATAAATCCAATTTGAGATGATGGATTGGTGAGCATCTGTGGAGGTAAGTACGTCGAGGCATCCTTTAGCCAAGTATTTTGTCTTTATTTGTGTATGTAAGTAAGGAGGTACCTAAGTATAAGATTTTGTGCCTTTTTTCTGAATATGGAAGACGATTTATTTGATACATCAAGAACATAAGAGGAATTTAGACAAGTGTCATTGACCTGTGTTTTAGTTTTAGTCAGTAAGAGTCTGATGTTCTTTGCCGTCTTTTCCAGGCGATGCGATCCCTGAGAGTTTTCCACCTTGAAGCAAAAGAAAGAAACGGTTTATATAGGTACCATTCTTATTATTGGTAAATAGAAATACCCATTTATACAGGTCTGATAATTACCTTAAATATCTAATTTGCACCCAATACCTACAATCAATAAATCTTTAACACGGTAAAAAAGAACATTGAACAAAACAAAACGAAGTTGTAGTAATAAATTTTATCTTATTTCTCAAATAAATATTCCGTGGCGTGATTCGGAAAGAGAATCGGCTATCATTTTATTTGATACATGACGCTCACACGTTTTCTTTGAAGATGGTTTGAAGCCTACCTACGTGACAGGGGAACGAGTTGTACCGGTAAGTATAGAAAAACTGAATAAACGGTAAGGTTTACAGATTCTCTCTTAAATATTAGTTTATTCATCATTGCATGACCTTTATGGACATAGGACTCTAGTGATTTCTTTTTCACTTTTGAGTACCTACTTACCTACTTAATTAATTAAAAGTGTTTATATTTTTAACATTACCTCGTCGAGTACCGTCATTATAGACACAATTATAGTGTATGACAGTTTAAACTGTCAAACACCAAGCGGTCACCGGTGACCGCAACCTATTGTTCTATAATATTTATTGACATTTCAAAAGTACCAAATTATGGTGTAATTTAAATAAACGCTTTTGAGTTTGATTTGTGTCTATAATGACGGTACTCGACGAGTTAAATATCATTTTATTAAATACTTTTGCCTCGTTTGACTGCTCGGCAAGGGGTCTCAGTTTCGTACCCCGGGTCGTGCAAAGTATCTATTACTGAGTTTTTAAAAATGTCAATAATAGCACGGAGTCTGGAATTGTGCCCGATATATGGCAAAAGGCTCACCCCTATTACATGGGACTCATAACATAAATAGTAAAAAAGTGGGTTAACACCCATCCATTGTACAGTTGTAATAAGTGTCGTAATGTGCACCTCTGCCTACCCCTTCGGGTATAAAAGCCGTGATGTTATGTCAAATACTTTAAGTCGTTTAGAAATAAAACTTAAGTTCTGTCACAGAAATTACAAAGAGACTAGAAAGACAAAGAGGGGCAATGACAAACCATTTGTTGCGTGCACACGTAGATCAAGCAATGATCGCCCTCGGGGAAATTTTGCCAGAATCAATTCCTAGAACGTTACTAAGATAAGGAAGAAATATAGAATGATATTATTTTACGACGTTCGACATTTTGGGAATACTCACTGAAGGTCAAAGAATATGTAAGTACCTATCTCGTAAAAGGTACCTCCTGATAGTTGAAGATAAATATTTTACAACAGAAACTAAGTTTTAGTGTGTGGGAGATCCTTGCTTCAGCACGAATGGGCTGGCTCCACTGTAGTGATACCACGGCCTCACAGAAAACCGACGAGAAACAACTCTTGCGTTATGTTTCGTCGTGTGATTGAGAATGAGGTTACCAGATGTCCAATTACCTCTCAGTTTGACCTGTAGGTATGTAGGTATGTATGATTGTTTACGCGCGATTAACACGCGATTGGCTGAACCGATTTTGATGTGGTTTTCAGAAAACTAGTTGTTACACTTGGGAGAAGGTTTTTTTCGACTTCAAAAAAGAGAGTTTTGAAGTCGGTTTTTTAAACTTAGTCTTTTTAAAAAATAATAATTAGGTATAACTACCCGTTGGTATCCATCATGTTTTTGTAGTACTTGTCTGAAATGAATTTGCTAATAATGATTTACTCAATTAGCTTTGAACCTTGGTATTTTTAATTTATATGTGTATCTCTAATATTTCTATGATACCTACCTTGGTTTACCCTCGCTTTATATTATATTTTATTTTATTTTTTGTAGTTTTTAGATATGTTATGTGTGTTCTGCGCAAGAATAAACGGTTTTTCTTTCTGTCTCCTCTGCACCCTAATCTTTGTTCTAAAGCAGTTACCACACAAATCACGTGCGTGTATCGGCAATGTATCAACCGGGTCGTATGTACGACCTTCAACTGATTTACGTCCCTAACCTAACCCGGTTAATGGTGGCCTCAGTGCTCTATTGATATTTTACGATGATCGGTAAGTGATGGGGCTATTTAACGGTTTAAGATTTGCGGAAGCGAAAAATTTTGTAAAAAGATTTACTTCTGTGAATTTGATAATATACCTCTATATATAGCTTATAAGATCTTATCGTTGATCTCCAAAGGTGAGTTAGGGGTAGGGGGGAGTGACAAAAAACTTTTGGATTTGGAAGTCTTAAACAATTTGTTTTTGGTTCTCTAATTATGGTAGTAGACAGTGTCAGTTAGATAATGGAAACATATTAAACACATATTTTTTATTTTGTCGTATAAGAAAACAATACTTAGATAAAACGGAATAAGTCTAGGAGTGGGAGGAGTGGGAGGTCGTTACGTCACGCTACCCTATAAAATGTAGTAAACCGTGACGTCACACAATGTTTCAATTCAATTTATATCGTCGAAAGTATTTAATTTTGTAAGTAAAAGAAAAAATATGTGTGTAATGTTTTAAAATAATCTACCAGACGGACATTACAATTAAATTTAGGATACTAGGTATTCTATTATTAAGATCACCTAGGGCTTGCTAGGCTATGTTTGGGGAGACGTAGGTATGTTCGGTAGCGGTTATATATACCGTGGTTGATATGATGATGATGACTTAAAGCTGCTGGATTCATATCATAAAGTACATATTCTACCAATTATGACACCAAAAAAATGCTTACAACCTCAATCGATTAAATGCAAAGATAAACATCGATTCATCAACTTTCTACCTACCTATCGCAAGTCCTAAGTATACAAACTCGAGCAGTCTACTATAAAACGATGAGTTATATGCTCGTTAACATTTTTCCAGTGCGCTTATAAAGAGTTAACAGCACTATTAATGAACCTTAATACCACTTCCAAGAGTTGCTTATTGAGCATAAAATTCTATTACGGCATTAGGAGCGTCCGCAGACCCACTTGTTAGTGTAGGAAAAAGATATAGATAATATAATTATTACTTCCTCTTTTTATTTTTTTTTTATTTTGCTTCTATGTTCTTTAAGCTGTGTTGTGACTGGATAACGTAAAATATGAACGTTATATTATTCTCTGGAATAGAGCTAGGATAACATTTTTCGGAAATCGCATCAGAATTTTTTTAAGTAGGCAGTGAAATTTAAAATTTCGTAGCTTTAATTCATAAGGCCAGTACCCGAAACAATACCTTATAGGAAATCTAAAGACAAATAGGATACTAAGTTTTGATGGTTTTATTGACATACTTAAAGAATAAGTATCAGGTACCCATCTACTTGGTCCACTTGTAGTATTTTTACCAAGTAAGTAACATTTCTTTTTCTTAAAAGAAACGTTGCCCCACACTAGGATTTTCTCCTGTGTCGTGAATGCGTTTACAAACATACAAGTTCACATACACATGACACCCAGACCCTTTTATTATGATTTACCAGATGTTGATTAGAAAATTTTCAAACCGTTCCATTCATAAATCCACCAACCGTTTTTCTTTAACAATTTCTATTATCTACCAATTTCCTTGTAGCAACTGGTTTTCAAATCGTTTTATAGTCCCCACGCCATAAAACCGACATGAATTTCAACCCCGCTACATACCACTCGTCAAGGAGGGCTGATTTCTAAC